CTTCATACTGAGGCATGCATTTTTTCAGAGAAAGAGGTTACTCATCAGTTACCTGACTTCAAGATGCGTTGTCCATCTGAACAGTTATACTGTAAATGTACACACTCTGGTCAGCCAAGGTCAGGTAACTTTTCTCTACAGAGGTTACATTCACACTCAACCCCTCATACCTTAAACATTGCTGATATGAAGTATGTAGTACACAGCTCCATCTGATTTCTGTCCCTGCTGTAGAATCTAAACACTACAAAGACTCCAGAAGTAAAGTGAAAAGTACTTCTGGAAAAGGCAAAGACAAGGCAAACCCATCCTGGATTCACCTAATAAAAGAGCAAAGGACTCACCACACTTAGGCACCAAGTAGTTTCTACGAGGAAAAGCTGAAGACAGGGAAGTTTTGGTCAAATCCAGAGCTAATGCCAAAAAAGAAGCACGTAGTTTTAAGGAAGGCAAGGTTAGGCTGATTTTAGCCATTTGGTGACAGCATACCCTTGAGGGAGCACAAAATGGTGACAAGGCTGTGGGTTTCTAATCCTCATCAACTCATCAACTTTGCTAAATTGGACTTGCATTTGGCAGGCTGGTTTTAGAGCCTGCAAATTTCCACAGGGCTCAATCTGTTGGGAGCAAGATTTAACACGAAGTTTGATGCTGACAGCCCACAAGGAGAATACCCCATAAGTGCTAAACCTGAGCAGTCCCAGCTTGCAATGGCTATGCACTCCAGGCTCCAGAAAACTCCCTCTGCTCTCTCTGACAGAAGGTCTCACATTGTAAATCCTAACCCGTGTCCAGTTCAGGGCAAGCACCAAGAGGTCAACAGATTGCATCTCAGACCAAGACAGCAGGCAGCTCTGATAGACAGAACATGACAAAGTTTACAAAAAGCAATTCAAAGAAGAAACCATGAAGGATGTAGGATTAAAGAAAAAAACCAAACACAACTGAAAGTATTTTTGTCAAATCTGAAAAAAGTCTAAGTACATTGCTCTTACATTTTAATAGTTATATTTAGCGTAGCTGAGCACAGGGCAACACAGAATGCAATACGGCCTCTAGAAATCCTGCAAAAGGAACATCTAATTTCTCTTTGAATACCAGTGCAGGTGTAATTGTTCCAAGATACAAGTCTGACTATCATCAACATCACCAGAATATTCCAGTCCAAATTAACTTCCTTTTAAGAACAGTCCTATATGTAATAATATAAGATCTGTGCATGCGAGACAGAACCCATACAGCCCATCTCAAAACAGGTTGAGAAATTTTCCACCTTGCACCTTTGTTCTTCCCTGAAGGAAATGCATCAAGCTTCTGTACAGGTGTTCACAGAATCACAGAATGATTGGGTCGGAAGGGACCTTAAAGATCACCCAGTTCCAACCCCCTTGCCATGGGCAGGGACACCTTCCACTAGACCAGGTTGCTCAAAGCCCCATCCAACTTGGCCTTGAACACTTCCAGGGATGGGGCATCCACAACTTCTCTGGGCAACCTGTTCCAGTGCCTCAGTACCCTCATGGAGGAGAATTTCTTACTAATATCTGATCTAAATCTACCCTCTTCCATTTAAAGCCATTGCCCCTTGTCCTATAACTACACACTCTTGTAAAAAGTCCCTCACCAGCTTTCTTGTAGGCCCTCCTTTAGGTACTGGAAGGCTGCTCTAAGGTCTCCCCAGAGCCTTCTCTTGTCCAGGTTGAACAACCCCAACTGTCTCAGCCTGTCTTCATAGGAAAGGTGCTCCAGCCCTCTGTATACTTCCAACAGGCTCTAAAGACAACCACTAAAATATTTACAAATTAGTATTTTCTTACCTAATTCTTTTGGTGGCTGGATCACCAAAACAATACCGTGCCAATTCATTAATGAGTTGAAAGTGAGGGATGCAAGAAATTAAACTATAAAAGTGATCTTATTCTACAGTAATTTTATTTAAAAAAGAACCCTTTAAAGATAGAAATTGACAATTTGCCTCAATGGATAAAAGATGTCTCTCATTTTTGCTAGTTTCTAATTTACTGATTTTTGCTTTTGCAGAAAAAGTAATTTTACTTTCATTGCCAAAATTACAGGAATATATAGCAATATCTATTACACAAGCCGGGGGAAAAAAAAATAAATAAAAATCACCAAACCAACACACTATCTTTTCTGCACATTTGCCAGAAAATTAGTAGGAGAGATGATTGGAACTTGGCACAAGGTACATTTCAGTCACTTTAAGTGGTTGTCTTCTCTTAACTGCACTGCTCTGGAGGCCAAAGAGGGAGAAGGAGTTATCTGTGCCCTTCTGTAACAGTCAAAACACACACAGACCCTGGACCAGCAGCACAGCCACAAATTCCTCAGAAACACCCCGAGTTTCCCATCCCATACCAGCAAAAGCAGATGGAAGATGTCCCACATGAGGCCCCTGCCTCAAGCAGGGGTTAACATCTCAACATCCACCTCTAACCCTCACCATGACAAAGCATCTCACCCTCTGAGCCTGCCAGGTAGGAACATAAGCTAAGAAAGTCCTCCTCATCTTAAGCCGAAGAAATGTCACATCAAGGCCTTTCAGCAATAAGCTTTTCGTCAGGGCCTGTTTTACTAAAAGAAATGCTGTGGCAGTTCAGCCTCAAGGGGTGGGCATGGACTCCCAGCTGCCCCAGGCAGGGAGGGCAGCGGCGCGGCCTGCAGGTCCCAGGGAGCAGCCAGCCAGGTCGGCGGCAATGCCAGGCGACCGAGGCAACAGGCCTCTCCACTGGAGGCCCCTCAGCTTCACTGTTTTCCACAGAGTGACACAATTGCATCAACCTCACTTTTCTGGATGGCCTAGGAGGGGGACATTGACTCCAGCTATGAGTGCCGAGCAGTTCTTACACGTCCAGGCTGGCTCTCTAGGCCATCTGTACAAAAAGAGGGACTCCCAGATGTCAACTCCAGACTGTTATCCTCAGCCTTCAAACTGAAGTGCATGTGTTTCATTTTAGTGCTAATTGACAGAGATCCATCAGTACTTCAGAGTTATTAGTTTTAACTGAAAGACCTGAAGCCCATGCCCAGTCTGCCTGAATCGTCACACACAGTCCTCAAGCATTAAAATGCAGATAAACATAAAAAGTGTTTTCCCCGGGGGACCCAGCAGAGGCCTTCCTACAGCATTAGTGACAGCTTTGCTTCTAGATCAACAATAAAAATCCCAAGTGACAGAATTCACAGCTACTTTCTTCAGAGACTATTGCACAAGACAACAGATTTTACACGTAAATCATCCTATGAAGTTAAAACACAAAATTTGAACTGAACTATCAAAGAAAGAAGAAATGAGGGGATGACATCAACAGAGCAAACCAAATAAAATTCTTGGATTCATGCTCCATTCTTAAAGGAAAAAAAAAACCACAACCAAACAAAACCAAACAGTATTCCCAATGCTGTATGTATCAAAACCACAACAAATACCATAGGTAACAAAACCAACAAATAAGCATTCATGAATATTTTGCAGTCTACTTTGTGTCTGAAGATCTGACAAAAAGCAGTTGCTTTCAGTCTTGAAAATATACCTATATGTAAATCAAGTATCTAACATACCAAATACATGGCATCAAATCTTGCCAAGTAACTTCCAATGATGAAATTCTGTAAGATGTTCTTTAAAAATCAGTTCCTTTATTTCATGTGAGAAACATTCACCTATGTAGTTTTTAAGAGAGGACAAAGTCTGTGAAGCAAAGGTTTATTTCAGCGCTGGGTGCATGGGAGATCACCTCCATGATCCTCCTGCATGCACACTGGTTAGTCTAACATCCACAAATGTATTTAGGACAGTCATTCATATTCATGTCATTTCCCAGAAATCTTATACATATTTAAATGACTTCCCCGAAGTTATTTACATCTATTCCCTTCCACTTGCATCTGCGCACTGTTGTCTAGGGGTCTTCTTTGGGGGTCGTGGTGTGAAGGCTCAAAGTCTTCCTCTCAGTTAAACTTCTTATTCCGGTGCTTGTGCTCTATTGTTTCAGCTACATTGCAAACCCAAGTGGGCAGTTAATCCTCTCCTCCAGATAAGGACGGGAATGTGTCATCCAGGAAAAGGCTAATCATGGCTAAGGCAAGTGGTGTCTCTGTCCCCATACTTATCTTAACCCTATACCTGAATACATAATGCCCTGTCTCCATCCCCATATTTGGGTACCTGGAAACTTACATTCTTTCCAACTGCCTGTCTATTTATGACTTAAGCAAAACTATGATATTATTTATCACATTTCACAAAGGGTTTTTGAAGATCCTTCTATGGCATCTATACAGCTTCCTGAAGCTATAAAATCTTAATACTGGCAAGAACACTATTTCTCTCAAGCACTGAACGCTTCAGTGCGTATTTTTAATGTTTGAGAATTATTACTATGTTATCTTTCATCCACTAACTACCAAAGAAGAATCCAAGTACAACTACTATACAGAGCATGTAAAGTGTATTTTTAGATCTGCAGACACTGTCATTGGATGTACAGGGGTGAAACCAAGCACACGTTAAAAATGTACTTGCAAGAAGATGAAACACATTCTGCACAAAAACTGGAACTAGGAAAGAACCGTGATCGCTTTTATTCATTTTTCATTTTTGTTACATAACACATCTTCAAGACACAAGTTTTAGCTATGTTTGATTTTGCAGCCACGTCAACTCGTTAAGATCCTATTCACATCTCTATAACAAACATAATCATCTTGGAAAAGTGTAAAAAAAACCCAACAAACAATGCCTACTAATCACTCTGAAAAGCCTGGTCTCCTAAAAGTGTTACCTTTCAACTGATGTTATACTAGCCCTTTGTTAAATACCGCAGGCACAGTTTTCAGTGTATTTTTGCTATATTTTTCCTATTTAATAACAAGACTTATAGAACATAAGAACGCCATGCAAATTGATAATTTAAAAATCGTAACAGTTCTGAATATCACTTGATTGTTTTTTCTTATCTTTCCACATTTCAACTTACCTCAGACCCTGCGGAAATCTGACTTTGGCCTGGCTGATTCTGAAGGTGACCAGCATCTCTTTCTGGCACAGAATCCAGTGCATTGTCATCCTGTTGCGATTCAACCATTTCCATGGTCATCTGTCTAAAAGTAAGTACACACACATTTAAATAATGCAGTGCAGGCAGGTGTACCAGGCACCTAGGAAGAAAAGAGCAATTCCAGACTATTTTATATTTGGAGCAGACAACTAACAGAAAATAAATAGATTTCTCTCAAATTATCAGATTAACTGAAGTCCTTTCTTCCTGTTCCCCCATACTGAAATATTCATTCATATAGCTAGGAGCTCAAAAACAAGTACGAAAGCTGCACGAGAGGGGCAGTTATGGAAATGGTTCTCAGAGGAGGAACAAGCAGAGAGTCCCAGGCTCCCATGTAGTCTTGACAGCAGGGCAGGGAGGACAGGGCTCCGGAGCAGCCCACCAGCATTGCCCACAGCAAGTCCCTCGTGCCTCACATCTCCCACCAGACAAGGCTCAAGTTGACCAGCAGCCACATGCTGCTGCTACAGGCCTCCAGAACCTTCTGAGATACTGACCCCTAGCTGGGATCTACACTTGAATTGTCTGTAAACTACTCACAGCTCAAGACCTGCAAAGATTCTTCTCATTTTGCAGGTTTAAAAGTAGGGTAAATTTCACAGAAGAATAAGCAACTCCCTGACCCTCAATTTAAACTATGAGTTTAAACTCCATAGAGAAGGCTTCCAAATATATCTGCTACATAAAAATGCAATTATCTGACAGTTGCTTTTCTATATTTCTAGGCACACTTAGCCATAACAGAAGGTGTGTGTATTACAACAAGAGCTTGGTTCTCTTCAGCTCCCTTTCTCTCCTACCAAACCCTGCACTGAAGGAGGTGCAACATTGAACAGGTGATGTCACAAACATTGCCATGGCAAAGGTCAATATACAAACAGAACAGAGACAGGACAGGGTCAGGCAGAGGCAGGCAGGACAACCTGCAGGCACGCTCCCACCTACACATTACTTACACAAGGAACTGAGGCCACAAAAGGAAGATGTGATATAGTTATGGGATTTAAGAGGCAGCAAATCTCACTTCCTCAGGTTCAGTTACTGTAACTAGGGGATGGCAAGCCTGTCCGAACTCAAAGTTCAACTGTTTCAACTGGCTGATAGTTACTGCAGTTTCTTCTCAGGTCTTGCACTGAGAGGTGGAAGAGACAGGGAAGAAAGCCTGCTATGCACCTGACTCCAAGGCTCCTCAATCTAGTCCCACAAGTGAAAAGTTAACTACATTAAATCAAATTAAATGTAAACCCAACTCCTTTCGCGGCACTATTTTACAGAATAATCCACAGTCTTCGAGGAGAAATTTTTTTTTATTCACCCTTTTTGCCTATAATAAAAGCACGAAAATATGAAAAGGAATCCACTCAAATGATGCAGAGATGCATATTTCTAGCTTATATTCCCACAATGGTATTCTACTGATCAGACTTAACAGTACTACAGCTAGTGGTAGCCAAGCTGTACACAATTCAAGATTTCATGGGTTAACATTAGTATTTCTGCCAATAGAAGTTACATACTCTATGCCAGTATCAATTCAGATTAGATTCGTAAGGAAACATTTTACACCTAAAAATCTTTCTACATTCCTGTCTTGTCAGTTACCACTAATTACCTTTTTCTCTAGATACAATCTAATTAAAGATCTACTGAAATTCACCAAAGTTGAGCAACTCGAGGAAGAATGTTTTCACCAAGGTTTCCACTGTAATTTTCCATAACAAGAGGTTTCTTATTAAATCATTCTGGTTTTATATATGCATTCAATATAATAATAAAAAAAGTAGAAAAAAAAATGTTCCTCCTTAGTAAACTAGGACCATCCACAGAGTCTCAAGCATGAAAGCTCTATCTAGTTCATGTAAGAATGCCTCCATAAGCTTCAGAACAGCTCACACACCAAGGAAGATTAAATAATGCACAAGTACTGGCAACATATTCATTGCAATCTCTTCCTAAAGATGGGAATATAGTCAGAATTAATTCACTTTATTCAGGCCCTGAAGTATTTTCTTATCCAAAGCCATCTGTCACAGATAACCTACCACTGGAAAAAAAACAAAAACATAAGTACTTTTATTCCCACTAAATGCATTCCATAGAAATTTTACCCAGAAAGAGCCATTCTTCATGTTGTAAAAAATATGGTTTAGTTTTCTAAATTTTAGCTTAATACCTCACTGATTACAGAACACTATAAAAATTATTTATTTTTACAGGATTTTTCTCCCAAAGTCTTTTCACATGCTGTGTTCCAGTAACTGTGTTAGCAAATAGCTATGCAAAGAGCATCAGTGCAGCAGAAAATCTAACAGAAAGTTATTCCTAGTATTTTACAAAATACAGTACAGAGAAAAGATTGTATTTTTTACATTATCTATGTTAAATTAGAAAAACAACAGCAAGTATTATACATGCCAGTGAAGTGATAAATATCATCAAGAATTATGACACACATGAAAAACTCAGAAATTTAAATAGATTTTCCATCTATAACTGGGTACATTCTGACTCTTAACAGAAATGATTGCCTATTTTAAGTCTTTAGCAAAGTGGAGTAAAATCTGAAAATTTGTATACTGCTTTTAATTACCCTTTTTGGTTTTGACCACCATTAAATGCAACTGTTACCCTAGAACACAGCAAAATACTCTTTCTAGGTAAGTTAAAATCCACTTCTTTGTGACAACCTGGTAATTCTAGTATGTTTATAAACAGAGACTCAACTAAAAATACCATCTAAATATAAAGACCTAGCTATAGCCTATAAAACTGAAACAAAAATAACAAAGGGCGTAAGTTATTTTAAAAGATATACTGGTTATCTTGGCATAAAAGTTCAGTAAGAAAGATGACTACAGACAAAATGTAGCACATTAGTATCATAATTAAAACATGTTAAAAGATTATGAATCTTCGGTAGACATAACTATAGGGGATTACTGAACTTGCAGGTGAAGGTGAGCTGCAGTCATTTGAGCCCACAAGGTCAGAAGTGGTACAGCCACACTGGGCCGTGTCACTTCACGTGGGCTTGTGCACACGTCAGGACCAGGTGTGCTAAAACACTCCTGAATTTCACAGTCCAGTCCAAGTTATCACTGTCTTCAGTGCACTCTCATAAACTCTCACATTCCTATAATCGGAGTTGTACGGGTTTTATATTTCCTGTATTATCTCATATATCATTTTACCATGAATACATCACATTGTTTTTAATAAATATACAGAAAAATACAGAGCACGCTCATAACTATGTTTTTTTCCAAAACGTCAGTAATACGGACTGTGGCAAGAAACAGTTATTAATCCAATCCTGAAACTACCAACAGAGACAGTTTCCACCTGTATCACACTCACTCAGTCTACACAGCAAGCAAATTCTAACATATTTATTGCTTTTAAGTTTCCAAGTAAGAAAAATGTTTTGCCAAGCACTTAAAATCCTTTATAAAAGTATATCAGTAGTAGCACACATCCCACTTTAAAGTTTACATTACCTTCCTCCTATTTCAAAGGAAAACCAAGCAAACAGTTTTAAAGTATATGGTCTTAGGTGCTGTTTAAAATTATAGAATGTTCTTCTGCATTGTATGATTAATTATATACAAACTTGAGTCTTATATTCAGTATTAATACATTCTTCTATTACATTTTCCACCTTGGTTGCTTACCATCACCGAACAGTAGCTTTGAATATTAGTCTGGATTTTTAAATAAGCAAGTTATATCTCTCCTGTCCCATAAAAAGGGGGTAAAAAATGGCTTTCCATAATGTAGCAAAAGATATCTACTTCTCCTTACAAAATAGCAAAGAAATCTTCAGGATCTGACAGGAGGTTTAATTAGTTAACTAGCTAGTAACATTTCAATATATATTAGCACGTTTACTATAGTCACTGAAACTAACATAAACACCAATTAAGATGTATATAGTGCACATCAAAAGCTTCTTGAGCTGATAGCAGCAGCATCCCTGATGGGACAATACTGACAGAGGAAAACGTTGCCCGGGTGACATAGAAAGTTGGACGTAATTTATATCTAAAGGTGGGAATCTTTTATATTTTTGTCCATAGGTAAAAGGTAAAGGATAGCACCCCTATCCAGATGTGTTCTTGTGTAATGAAGAGCACAAAAAATCCTTTCACTTCCCCCCACAATACTGCTGTTTGTTTTACAATTACGTCACTGAATATTAATATAAATATTTAATGCCTGTTGGCAAAAGTAAACTGCATAAGCAAATTGGGACAGTATTTTGCAGAACTGGAAATGTGTGACATTCTAATTAAATATTCAGAGACATTTTAAAGACAACTTCTTTATTTCAAAAATACTTTATACATCATAGACTGTTTACAAAGGTGGCTTATTACAAAAGAAATTTTAAGTTGCTAAGAAGTATGTTTCAGCCCTTGCTCCAAATCTCTTTGAAGGCTTTTATTCACAGGAAATTTACTGGAAAGCAAGGATGTGAATTTACAAACACCTATTTTGCATTTACTGATGACCTCACGGTGAGTGTGGAAATTCTCAGAATGCACTAGTTTCAGAAGAACACTGTGTTTTCAGGTATGAAGTCTATAATCTGTTTTACTACACTGCTTTGTGAAGCACACCAGCTGGCAAGTTGGTCACAGTGTTCAGCCAGGTAAAATGAGCAACAGTTCAACAGTCCAGATTCTGAAAGTGCAGTCTTCCTGTTTTCAGCATCAGCAGAATACTAAGTTTCTCGTGTCTCCTAAACACTAATGTATTTCCTCGTTTTCTTCCCCATCCTTTTCTTCCTAGAATATGTTAACAAAAGCCTCAAAGAAAAAAAAAAATTCACAAACCCAACCTGCCACTACTGTAAGCACAAGCATGCTACCCGGCACTCCCCATCTGCCAACTCAATATTCCGAACACCACAGTGCTGAGTCCGCTGTGAAGAGCACACACGGTCCCCGTTTAGAAGAGCCCAACCAGACCCTGAATAGGCAAGAGGATCATTTAAGCACCAGGATCTGTGGAACCACTTAACACGCAGCTCCACTCAGC